TCACATATAGTGAGATGATAAGAATGTCAGCTTCATTGTACTTGACATATAATATTGATTCAGATAAGCTTTTAGTAAATCCCAACTTTTGTAAATGTTTATCAATCCTGCTGTACCAAGCTCTTGGAGCTTGCTTCAATCCGTAAAATACCTTTTTAAAAAGATAGATATTATCTTTTTCTCTTTTCTTTACATAGCCTTTCGGTTGCTCTACATAAATTTTCTCCTGCAGAAAACCATTAAAGAATGCTAACTTGACATCTAACTGGTACACCTTTCAATTCTTTTATGCTACAACGGTAAGTAAGAGCCTAATGGTGTCGAGTCTAGTGACTGGTATAAAGGTATTTAAGTAGTCCACACCAAGTATTTGAGCATATCCTTTAACCAGGAGGCTAGCTTTATACTTGTTGATTGAGCCATCAACATTAAGCTTGGTTCTATACACCCACTTAACTCTAATTACCTTTCTCTTTTAGGGTTGATCAACCAACTTCCATGTTTTATTCCTTTTAATAATTAATAGCTCATCCTTCATTACAGCAATTCAATTTTGATCCGTCTTAGCTTTTTCATAATCTATAGGTTCACATACAGTAATATTACATTTTGATAAACATCATAAAGTAGTCATGTGCCTCTGATAGGACTGTCATTCACCATTTCATTCTCTCAGTCTCTAATGCTTTGTTTACTATGTCCAAAACAAAAAACTTGAGCTTGGGCTCTTTTAAAGATGGATCCATCTTCTTTGCATCATCCCAGTTTCACTCTTCGTCTTCCATAAAGTGCACATCCCTGCTTATCATAATTTTTTCAGTATGTGGTTGGAAAATTTTATAAGCTTTTACAACCGAGCTGTAGCCAATGAAGATGCTTGGAAGTGCTCTTTTATCCAGTTTATCTTTCTTAATCTGTGGAACATAAATGAAGCACAAACATTCAAATATTTTAAAGAAATTTAGAGATGGTTTATAACCATACCATGCCTCAAAGGGTGTTTGATCCTTCATTACTATTGTAGGAAGTCTGTTTTGCAAAAAAAAAAAAATGTTTACTCCTAAAATTGCTTTGGCAAGTTCTTCTCATATAGCATACATCGTGTCATCTCCAATATGAATCTATTTCGTCTCTCACTTACTCCATTTTGTTGTGGAGTGTATGGAGTGATTAATTGATGTTGGATGCCTGTCTCCTCACAAAAATGATTGAATGCTTCAGAGGTGTACTCTTTGCCATTGTTTGATCTGAAAGTTTGAATTCTACAGTCATTCTTGTTCTCAACTCTGGCTTTAAAGTTTCAGAAGACTTGAGCTACTTCTGACTTGTGCTTCAAAAAGAAGATCTAACACACACGATAAAAATCATCAATGAATGTAACATAATAAAGATTACCTTTCAGAGAAGGCATTCTTTGTGGGCCTGCAATGTTAATATGAATTAATTGTAGCTTTTTTGATACTTTCCATGTTACCTTGGAAAATGGTTTCCTATTTTGCTTTTCAAACTGACATGCTTTACAGTTTGGAATATGATCATCAAGTTCTGAAAGATCATTTGTCATCTTCTTAGATTTCATCTTGAGCCCCCCTGATGATGATAGTGCCCGAACCTCTTGTGCCATACTTTAGTGATATTTTCTTTGATTGGGAAAGCAGTTTGCTCCTTCTATGGATTTAGAGCAAAGCTTTTTCCTTTCATTTTTACTTTGAAAATATCTTGGCCAACTGCATGTTTAATCAAGCAACTTTTGTCTTTGAACACAACTTTATAACCCTTTTCAATTAGTTGTCCAACACTTAACAAGTTTTGATCAATTTCAGGAACATACAACACATCAAAAATGAACTTTGTACCTGAACAGGTTAAAATTACAACTGTTCTTTTTTCTTTCATAATTATGTACTTGCCATTACCAACTCAAACCTTCAATGAGTTTGCGTTGTTTAGTTCCCTGAATAGATCATTGTCATGTGTCATGTGATTAGTATAACCACTGTTTATTAGCCAACTCTCACTTGATTCAATGCCAGAGAAATATATAGCTACGAACAAATGATCCTTCTCCTCTTGATCAGTAATATTTACCTCTTCACCATGTTATCGATTTTTATTTTTACAGATAATAGCTTCACACCCCATCTGATTGCATTTAGTGCACTTAGCATCAAGTTTTCTCCGACATCTAAATGAAGAATGACCCTTCTTTTTGTAGTGTTGGCAAAGTGGATAAGATTTCATCTTATTTTCATTTTTTTCTTTTGCATTGGCTAATGCTGTACTTGCCCCATTTCCTTCAAAATCCTTCTTCTTCTTCCTTTTATTTTTGGCCATGTTTTTATGCTTGGCTGCCAAAGCTCCTCGGTTGTTGTATCTTTCCTCATCAATCTTTCTTGTTCTTGTGCTTGCAATGCATTAAGCAATTATGCTAAGAAAATTTTTGACAGATCTTTGGTATTATCCAAGATAATAATGGTTGCTTCATATCTTTCAGGTACTGTAACAAAAATTTTTTTTAAAATTCTTAAGTCAGTAAATTCAGATGCAATAAGCTTTACTTTGTTTGTGATACTAAAAAGCCTGTTGAGGTAATCTTTAATTCTCTCGGAGTCCTTCATTCTTTAAAGTTTAAATTTCCTGATTAAGTTCAGGACTTGCATCCCTTTAATTCTTTCATCTCCTTCGTATTCATTCTTGAGATAATCGCATATCTTTTTGCTTACTTCAGAGACATGATATGAGTGAAGATGGTGGATGAGACTGCAGCAAACAAGTAGGCCTTTGCCTTTGATTTCTTTATCTTATTTTCTTTCTATGCTTTCATTTGTGCCATGGTGGGATTGTTTAGAAGTGCAAGAATTTGATAGTCTTCTTCCACTGCTTCCCAAAGATCCAAAGCTTTCAAGTATGTCTCCATATGTACTGCCCAAATCTGGTAGTTGTCTCCATCGAACACTGCCAAAGCAATTGTGGAGAGATTGGATTTGGCTTCTATGATGCATCAAATTCATACACAGATCCCTTAAGAAGAAAGCTCTAATACCAAATGTTATTAATTTTGAATAAGAAAAGAAACACAGAGTATTACTATAGTAAAGGCAAATGAAAATTGAGAGCAACGTATTTTGAAGCAAAGAAAACTCCATTTTATTTAACATTAGAAACATTACAATTTAAAGCTTAATTAATAACGATCAATAAAATCATGATCCTAATATTACGTCATGACCACAAACATGAATAACAAAAAATAACCAACACCAAAAAACAGGAACAATTTGAAACATTCAACTATGCAACGTTTATGAATCTGCATTAACAGTTCTAAACACGTCTTCTAACATTATGGACAAAAATTAAATGTTCTGTCAAAATGTAATGGGTTATTTCACCCATTCTCTTTTCTTCTTTCTTTTATTATTTTGTAATAACTCATTCTAAATGTTTTAATGAGATCCCTTAGTAATACATTGATCTCAATGACCAGGATATTAAAGTGAGAATTACAACAAAATCAAAAAAAATTGAAAGCAGTAAAAGTGTAAAAAGCACAATTAAGAAGATTTTTTTTTTTTTTTACGAAAATTTCAAAAGTAAATAAATTATTCGATTTTTCAAATTAGAATAGAATATGTAATACTTGATGACTTAAAAAACAATTATTGTAAATCATGCATTTTAAATAACTCCAACAATAAATCATTAGCTGAACTTGCATCTAAAATCACCCGTATAAAAAAAAAATGATATTATCAATTGAGCTAACCTCTTAGACAATTAAGAAGATATCGATATTGGGAAATGTACAATATTATTAGTATATGCAAGGTGGCAAGCGATTGCACACATCTTTGCGCATTGTAAAAGGATATTCCCCAAGTTTATATTTTGGTCATGTTCTTGATATCAGTCGCTCTGGATCCGAGAATCCATCAATATTCATGGTTTTCTTTTTTTTATTAAAAAAAGATAATCATGGTAAGATGGTGGCCTGAAACTAGCTAGAAATTTGCCCTTTTCTCAAATTATAGAACCAAGTCCAGGATCCTATTTCTATGAAAATCTTTTGTGTAAGAAATAAGAATTAGTGCATGTGAGAGCCCAAACTTTATTGGCAGGGTGAAATTTGGTCAATCAGTCCATGTGCCCTTACCAAATAATTGCGCAGAAAAAATGGAAATTTCCATGTGTTACTCCAATCGTGTATCTATCAATCTTTGAGATTTTTAATTTCTTTCTTCCCCTCCAATCATGAACAACATTGAAAGCCTTCAAATCTTCCTAAAAATTTTCTCTAGATATGGTATTTTAATCCTTAAACAAAACCCAAAGAATAAAAATTATGAATATTTTAATTTTAAGAATAGAATTCACCCCATTGTTATGATTGATCTCTCACAGTAATATTACAATTTTCAATGTCCATCGTTCAGAGGTTGAATCGAATATTGCCATGTAACGGATGGTTCCAATCATGGAATGGAGAAAATGAAACCAAAGAATAATATTCTTATTGCAAGTGCTTAAGCTAAAGCCATACCCAAAAAAGTGCCTAATCCAACTCTAATGATCTATATTTGATGTCTAATTGTAATGGAAGCCAACCGTATGTGACGTCTTTGATGAGACTATGGAGATAGCAACAGGGGGGGACTCACGTGAATATTGTTTTATTTTCATCCAAAAACTTATCACATGAATTTGCTGCTTTGCAATCAGGGGCATCAACATTGACCAGCCATGGCTGTGTTTATATTTAGACAGTGACTTCAGAAAAAAAAAATGGGTCTCTTGGCTGCACCATTAATATTCTAATAGTAAATAGTTGAGAGAGAAAGAGGAGATAATCGAGATAATTGGGCAACGCCATGTGAGTATTTGAGGGGGTGGGGTCATCTTTCTATTTCAATAGCAATCGAATTGGCCAATCTGGTCAAAGACCTTAGTGCTATAAATACAAACACCAATGAGTTCAACCTGCAAAATTACAAGTAGTGCAACTTAATTTCATTCCCAGTACTTCAGTTAACCAAAACCCACCTAGATCAGCTCGTTCTTTTCTCAATTCAATTCAGGATCAGATATGGGTATCCATTTACCTTCCGTGATTCTTCATGCCAAGCAAGTTCTCAAACTGCAGTCTAGGAACCAGACAGATGTGCCAAAAGGCCACATTGCAGTTTACGTTGGAGAAATCAACAAGACAAGATTTGTCGTTCCCATATCATACTTGAACCACCCTTCTTTTCTAGATTTGCTCAACACGGCAGAGGAAGAGTTTGGCTTCAATCACCCTATGGGCGGTCTTACAATTCCGTGTGACGAAGATGTCTTCATTGATCTCACTTCTCGGTTGCAAGCCTGCTGAAAAATGAACAAAAAAATGCTCTCGCCAGAATTTTGATGATTTTTTTAGTTAAATGATTTTATTCCATTGAAGAATATAAGAAATGTAAATGTAGATAATTTTTGACAATTGACATGACAGTGAGTGGGGAGATAGATTATATATGCTCTCTCCTACCAAGATGTTATCAACTGATAATGAAATTCTTTGTTTTTGAATCCCATATAACTCTCTTCTATTTGGTTCTTGAGTTTGTGAATAATCAAGATAACTCCATTTATCAGAATTCTGATTGATAGTTACCTGAAAGGCTGGAAGTTAACTTCTGAGAGCCTTTGCACCAAAATAATAAATAAATAAATAGAACAATCAATTCTACATATTGTCAAGATGAGTTATGTGAAATTGAAATAATTTGAGGTACTAAAACCTGGAAGATAGAGGAAAACCCTCAATTGTTACCTTTATACACTATTAATTTCAGGTATATTTTGACAAATTGCAATGCCAGATTGCTTATAGGAATCAAACTATATTTTCATTGCAGAAAACTAAACTTGGCAATTGTGATTTGTGACAGTGTCATTAGTTTTAATAATTTCATCCGTTTTTTGAACACAGTATGAAGAGTGACTAGAAGTTAATAGATTGTAAAGATTTAGGCAAAGAAAAACCTTGTATTCTACAGGATTTAATTAAACAATCTGATTAAACTTTAAATAGGTCTATCTTATCATAATACAGTTCAAAGAAGAAACCAATCATCTTCTTCTTGTTTAGTTTGCAACCGATTATTCTACTTCAATTAACTTATTTTCATATGGGAAATGGCCTCAGTTTGATAAAATGAGAGATTCCTTTCCACTCCAGTAAAATATAAGAACATGTAGCCAAACCCTATGTCCGTATGGTTTGCTCCTGTAAATGACTGAGCCGACAGGGAAAAGATGCATTATTTTCAGGAAAAGAAAAGCTCCTCCCATTCTAAATTTCTTTATCAGTTCTCAGCACCATCGGGTTCTTGAGTTAATGCGAGTATGTTAACACACAGATTGTGCCATGGAAATGGGAAAAGCTGGGAAGTTAAATCACAAATTCACCAGCTTCCAGCACTGGTTTCATTCCTCAGTTAACAAAGGGAAGAGCTCAACTTTGTTTTTATTAACAAGTACTTATTCGAAATACATTCACGTCTCTTTGATTTGTTTTTTTTTTTTTCTTTTGCCTTTATGTGTAGAATATTTTACAAAGTGGCATACATAACTTGATGTAACAACCCTCGTACGGTTCTTATTAACCTTGAGGACTGACTTAAGGTCCGTCCTTGAATCTGCATTGGACATCGAAGGTTGATTCATAAAGCATCTGCATGTACATTGAAATCCCTCACCAGCCACCACCCTGTTTACACAAAATGACCATTAGATCAGATTCACTGTTCCATTCGAAAAGGGAGCTTCTGACTTTTCTTTGCAGTTTCCTTGGATTCCAAGTTAGCAACCGGAGGATAGTCAGGTGCATGAAAGTGGAAGTCATTGATTAAATTGCTAAAGAGGATCAGCTTATGTTTGAGGTAACACAAGTATTTCTTCCAAGTTGTTTCCATGTTGCCAGTTCCGAAGATTCTACTCTTAATCCAAAGACAGATTGCCAGTTCGAATGTTGCGTTGCTGATGGGAGATTCTTTTTCCCAATCGCATTTGGGAGGCATTCCACTCTCCTGGTTTTCCACAGAAAGGAGAAACAATCAGCTTTGGTTGAAACCATCTTTGTAATGCAAGGCCATTGATTCTGATTTTTCCATAGTATTCATTCCCTTGGTATGGTAGTCCAATCCTTCTCAATAATGCAGCAATTGCCTGGCCAACCCTGTCAGCCAAAATTGACATTAGAAATCATCATTCCATTCCAATTCATGAACAAGATGGACCGAAAGACAGAGATTTGTCAAAATATATTCTCATTGTATGAAGTATAAATTGATATGACACCTCAAGTTTCTGCTGCAAAAGTAACTATTATCTAACCACAACAGTAGACAATCAACAGTTCATAAATGTCTATATTTTTCTATTCTATTGGAAAATTCTTTTTTGTTCTTTAATTTAAAATATATATATCATGAACCATTAAATTAATAGCATATGATAAAGTATTAAAGATATCTAGCATTGATTGTAGCAGTGTCTCCCATTATATACTTCAGGGGTGTGCGGGGATATGTATGCGTGAATGTTTATGCATTTAGAAACTCCTCTAACCTTCCAGTAAGATTAATTGATTTCTCCCCTTCAGAGGTCAAGATTTGTGTCGTCTCCATGGGCAGTAAGACAGATATACTAGGTAATTTTGCACCTACACAAAGATCTGCGTACCAAGAATACCAACAGCAATTAGTAAAGCAACTGCATAAGCAAATACCATCGCATACAAATATTATCCAATTAAATGAGTTATTTGTGTCATTTGATTCTAAGTATGACAAGGAAACAATCCATAATCTAAAAATCGGACATGTATAGAAAATACTCAAAGGTCTTCTGCTAAATGCTTCTCAAAATTTCAATAAAAAAATAATCTTATGAACCAGGGATTACTTAAAAGTTGGTGCAAATCCCAGATTAAACAATAAAACAGAATAAAAGGACATCATGTTACCAGCAGCAAGCCGATACGTGAGACCTTTCAATATAATTAAGAGGTAAACCTGACAAATTTTCCACACAAATTAGTATTATGAGATTTTTAACTGAAGCGGTAGGTAGTTTGCTCAAATTAACCACAGTATAAATTGTTGAATGTTATAAAATTTTGGCATTTTATTTATATTTTCGTACATTACAACTATTAAACACATCTTTAAAATTATATCATAATATACCATGTAGGGATTTGGCACAATGAAGAAAAAGAAGTCTTACAAAAAATTGGAAAAAAACAGAAAAAGAAGAAAAACAGCAAGGGTAAAGAAAAAACAGAAACTGTCTCAGGTTAATAAAATTCCATTTGTTTAAACTCTATAAGCTCTATAAAGATAAGCAAAGAAAATTATAAAGGCCAAGCAGTTCAAGCATTCATGTTGTTTGTAAACTGCATGGCATATAATGCTTTCCAATTTCCAATGCACTCTCATAAGGAAGCAGTAAGCCTCAATGCAGGCAAAGATACACTTCCTTAATGATACGGAATTTTTTTGTAATATTGCAAGATAGTAGAGAGATTCACATACCTCTGCTGTATTAATTTGCAACTCTCTTGCATCTACAACAATAAGACTTTCTTTGAAGGATACACATGGAACAATCCCAAATGAAGCAGCCTCCTACAAAAGGGTAACACAGGAATTGGATAAATAGCCTCTATTTCCAAAACTTAAGCACAAAGAACTGGCTGATTACAGTTGAACATTACTTACCTCAAGTAATGAAAAAGCACCAGGATCATATTCGCCAAATCCATCTATCAGTGAACTGAGGCTAGAGCGTCTTGATGAATCAGCACTAACTTCCAGGGTCTCAACAAGCCTACTTTTCAAAGAATCATCACGAGGGAGCTGCAAACATCCTAAGATTTTTGAAACAATTTCCACGGTAGGTACTGTACCAGCAACAATAGTTTCACGGTAGACTGCCAGGGCTACTGACGTCCTAAAAACCAAGGAAGAAATCAAGATTAGTTATCACCAAAACTTTTGGTAGTTTTTTAAGTAAATATAGAAGTGAGAATCATACATAGTCCTTCTACAATCAACCCTTTTTTTTTAACTTTACAACTATGAAGTTGGAAAATTAGCCCTACTCTGCTCTTCAGGTATCACTTACAAAGTAGTGAAAGCTAACACAACTAAAAGGAAGTAAAGCATAATCTTACCTTAAGTATATGATACAGACAAGTCACAGAACATCCCTCCACCCCCCCCCCCCCCCAAAAAAAAAAAAGAAAAAATCTGCAATTCTGCACAATTACTAAAATTTGTCTACTAAGATCACTCATAGTGGATTTAATTAACAAAATTCTTAAAGGAATCAAGTACCATTTGTTCTCAATATGTGGTTGTCCTGAATTAAAGGACAAAACAGGCTCACCAACCATACAAGCTTTCTCAAATCTTCGCAAGCACATGCCTTCAAAAAGATAATATTGAAAGAGATAAAAAATCATTGAAGATATTGAAGATGATGTGTGTGTCTGACCGTGCGTGCAAGCCTGTATGTGTTGATTATAAAATTACCTTCAAATACAAAGAGCATAATGCACAAAATCTACAAAATAAGTTTTTATTTCTTTTTTCAAATATTATAGCATGGACATCAAGCTAATATCCACAGTATTTGAATGGATAAGAATATTTGAACTTGTTCCAGAAAACCAAAAGCACCACCTAAAACCACCAAATTCTACTCGTTCCAAAAAATAGACTTGCTACAGAAAATATGAAATTAATTTGAGAGGAGGGAATGGAGACAAAAAAGAACATGATAGACACCTACTTCTATTGGATACAGTGTAGAATAGCAACTTCAGAGTCATTCAAAAGGTAATATCATACCACTATTATGCAATAAAAAGTTCAAACTTACCAATTATGCATCTAGACATAACAATGTTAGGTGCAACCCCATCTTTTCTTGCCTGAGAAAGGAGCATGAGCCCTACTTCAAGATCATCCTTTCTATTAATGACAGGGTGATGGAGGAAAAAGGAGTTAATGCACTTCAGAGGTTCACCAGATAAAAGCACACATATATAGTTGACGTGTGTCATTGATACTAGCAAAACTCCAGTGTGCACTTACCTTTCACTTTCCACCAAAAGTATGGAGTATGTGATAGTATTTCGACACAGTCCCAACTCCTTCATCTCCGATAAAACTTCCATAGCCTTCAGAAGCTGATCTGCTTCGCCTGTATTTAGGTCTACTAGTATCATTCTATACTCCAATATCATTAATAAATTATTATGTTCAAAGAAAGCTTATACATGTTATAATTTAAGATTATCACTGCTCTAACCTTTAGCCTAAACCATTAAAGGGTTAAAAGCAATGCAGCCTTTTAAGAAAAAGGCATAATACATAAAACATTTATTAATTTCAAACAACTCTCACTTTCCATATGCCAGATTAGATAGTTGCATTGATCTCTATGACAATTTAACAACTTATTTGTTTCAAAGAGAGAAAAGCCCCACGACTAACATATAAACTGATCTTGAACCGAAGTAATCTAGCAAGGTACATAGTAGCAAAGGATTACCTCAAAACTAGAGTGCACATATTATATGTTGTACCATAAGCATATAAATTTTCCATACAGACACCGAAAAGTAACTATATATCCACCTTTTACCATTCTGCACACATTCTACATTTTTAAAACTAAAAGGATAATTAAACACAGCAGCATTACAGACTTCCTTTCCAGGCTATTATGGTTTCAAGCAGGAAACAACATAGTAGCAAAAACCTCACGGAACCTAAAATTGGGTATGGAAATTGGAACCTTGCACACAGATGGACATGGAAATTGCCTTCTCTCATCTAGAAAATTTTTCTCATATCATATTGTTTTTCCCTAGCAGATATTCTAAAATCCCATTTCTGCTGAGTTTCAACCTTAAGGATACCTTAATGCAAAAGAGTACTTAATATGAGATGCTAAGACAACGTTTGCAAGTTTGTTTCAAAAAGATTTGTCTACCATTAGAGAACTTCCAATGTCAATCATAAATAACAAGACCACATTAAGCCATCTCCTTCTTCACAAATATCCTATAAAAGCGATGCACTTCATCAAGTTATCAAGATGGTGTGACAGTGCTGTACATATGTCCATGGATAACATGTTACCACACCTTATAATTAATCCAAAGCTCCAAACATCATTGTATACCTGTAATATATGGACCTAACAGACAAGACAGCTCATGTACTCTTCACAGCTGGAAGAATCTCCTCATTATCATAAAACTTGTAAAGTAAGGAATGCCAATATGAGCAAATACAAGTATACTTTCAAAAGCAGATTGGACTTTCAAAAAATAATCAGATTATTGTATAATAAAGTATTTTCACAAATAATAATAAGTGATAGATGGAGTCTTACACAAGGAAGTAATTAAAGCATTGAGTGTAGAAACTGTTAACTTTAGTTTAGCAGCCTTTATATCCTCATACAGCTGCAGTGCCTTCTGCCAGTTTCTAGCCTGAAATAAATCAGAAAAATTATCATTGTCATGCCAGGATCGGTGGCATTACAAAATTTGTACATAAGTCAAGGTCAATGCCAGACCGCATGCAGCATGTTTGCATGCTTCAGCTGAGAAATATAAAATTCAAATGATTCAGCAAGTGTCCATTTCAGGACCAGGAATAAACCTTAAACATCATGCCTATAAGTTCGAAAATACATCTAAAATAATAATGTACTTTTTAATACATTACATATGGTAATATGCTAAATCAACATTCACAACAAGACTGCCTGATTGGACTTACATTGCTGCAAGCTCCCATCAATGAACTATATGACACAATCCCAATATTTATCCCCTCATTCTTTGCTTCCTGCAGGATTTTGAAAGCAGCATCCAGCTTTCCAGCATGCCCTGCAACATCTATTAATGCACTGATAAACACCTGCATTAAAGTAAACTTGATTAAGATGATCAAAAGAGCCAAGAAAGAGTGTAATCAAAATACAGTAAACAATGAAAATTACTGGCCAAAGAAAAAAATGATGTCAATTGTCTGAAATCAAGGACATGGCAACTTACATGCAAAATTTGATTGTAGTTTAGCGAACCTCAAGCTAATTAAAAGTCTTGGAAGTTGGAACAAGAATGTGTTAAATCCAGTCAAGGGCATTGCAGTCATTTTCTTTGGGCCAAGAAGCAGGTGAGGTGGACCAATTAGCTTCTGTTGATCAGTTTTGTGGACCAGAAATCAGGTTTAAATTCTCAACCCGAAATATTGGATCTGTACTTAAAGTAGCTTTTCAGTGCTAGACTTTGATGATTAGATAAGATACCAAATTAATGGAGATATTTCTTTCCCCTGTTGTAGGATATAAATTTAATTATGTGTCACCAGCATTATCTGACAGAAAAGCCCTACACTAAAGTACTCACAGATTTAAGTCTCAAAACAAGAGACTTTGCAAGCTCAAAACTAAGACCAAGAGGAGTATTGTAACAAGAAAGAACCTCACCCTACCCAACACCAATCACGTCTTAAAACACTATTCCCCATTCTCAAGGGAGGGGGGGACCCAAAAGATAAAAAGGAGGCAAAAAGATGGACCAAAAAGGGGCGAATGGGGGGAGGAGGAGAAAAGGAAAGGAAAAGAAGTAAGAAAATACCTCGTCAGGAGCCACACCTTTCCTTTTCATGTCACTATAGACACTGCATGCAAACTCCAAATCACCAGTTTGGCTGCAACAATTAACTGCAATTGTATAAACTTCTGGAGTGCCCCTGATGTTAAATTCATGCATCATCTTGTATACTTCCCATGCCCGATCAACCTTTAAGCAATTTATGCTGAGACATTACAGAAATAAAGGAATACTGAGAAAATAGGAGAAGAATCAGTATGCACACCTGACCAGCATTTGAGCATGCCTTAATCAATGCACCAAAAGTGATGTGGTTAGGCTCTATAGGCTGTGTTTCAGCCATCATTTCAGCTAACACATCAAAAGCACGATCCACTGCTCCAGATTGACCACATGCAGTGATAAGTGCATTGAATACAACTCGGTCAGGCTTTACATTCTACTGCATACATTGTTTTCGTCAGTGTGAAGAAAACTATATACATAGGATAAAATAACTGCTAAATAAATACAAAATAAATAATTTATTGTCATGACAATACCTTAGATCTCATTATTCCATAAGCACCAAATGCTTTGGCCACTTGCCCAGCTCTGGCACAACCATCAATCAGTGCTCCATATGTGTTAACATTAGGTTCCACTCCAGAATTAACCATCTCATGAAATACCTAGGGAGTCAGATTAACAATCAGTTTACTAGTAAGTTATACATTGATTACGAAATGTAATCGAAAAGCCAATAAGAACCAAAGGTTCATCAGTTAGCTTTGGTCATCATAAGATATTTGGAGAAGCACCATTTATATCGGTTTGGCACTCAAAGACACTTGGACAAACACATTTAGAAAAGAAAGTTGTTCATGCAGAAATTTCAATTTCAAATTTCCAAAACAGAAATTGATTAAATAAGAAATTTCTTTTTCGACAAATCAATCAGGTTGAGAGGGAAGAATTTCCATGTCAGGGTGGAAACATTAGGTAAAGCAAAATGAGAATGCAAACTGTTGCAGCAGGGAGACCCAAACAGTAAAATTCTTGTTGGCACCAAGAAAAGCTAGAAGAGTTTCCACACCTCAAACATTGTATCAACCTTTCCACTTTTGGCACATGTAGATATTAATGTAGTGTAAAGTTTACAATCAGCTTTGAACCCAGCTTCCTGGCCAAGTCGCAAAACTTCAAAGGCTCCTAAATTTTGCAAAGACATTAGATATTCAAAGCATATTCACAAGAAAAGTAGCCTGTCCTGATTGAGAATCTAAAAGCACCAAACAGACTCACAACACATAATGGACTCACCCTCTGAATCTTTAGAACTTGCACATACAGATGTCAGCATATTAAATGTACTCAAGGTTGGGTTTCGAATCAGCTTTGTGAAGCGGAAAGCTTCTTTAACAGCCTTATTCCTACTGCAGATTTTGAAAAACTTTGCATGATGAACCTGACACCAAAGAATTTGTCACAAAAGACAATACAAATGTGAGATTAACACTAGTCCTTTTTTTCTCTGACAAAAACAAAGAAATATATCTAAATTACCAGCACTACCTTATTCACATCCAGTAAACCCCTTTGTTCCATATCTTCAAGCAAATCTACACAGTCACTTAACCTAATATGAATCAAAAGACAAGATAAAGAGGTGCAAAGAAATGATAAAAGAAAAAGGAAAGGTTATTAGAGATGCCAAATTAACATTTCTTGATGCCGGATAAAAAAAATGACGAATTTCACCTCAGTATTACTTCAGTTTAAAGTCAAGCTTTTGATATGATAATAAACTAGTCTTACCAAAGGGGACAAATGAAGTTTCCAATCAAGAAGAGAATGGCAAGTTACCTTCCATTTCTTAGTAAATGATTGTAAGAACTGAGATGCTCTTCAGGATGGTGCTTGTTATTAGCAAGCATTCTATTTGGGAAGGGAAACTGGGGAAACTTTGCATCCTCCTCCTGAATCAAGTGTCTTTTGTCATTTTCTCTTGAAGATTCCCTACCCCTTCCAATGTCATTTCTTTCATGAGAAAAACCTCTTTTGGAATATGCCTGAGTTACTTTTCCTTCAACCATATCTGGATGAAAAGTGTCCTTTAAATATGTTAGTAACCAGGAAAGCCAAAATTCAGGACAAACTGCTGAAATATGAAGTAGAGTAAAGAAAAGAGATGTTGATGCTAAACTGCAACATACATTAAAAAGGATCATAATGACAGATGTCTTTTTATGGAATAACCTGCAGTTTGGAGACGGTTCTTCACTGATAACTGGGACTTGTTTAGTACACTATTCTGCTTCAGTGAAGAAAAACTTTTGGTATTTGGGGAGAAGACATGAGAAGATGCTGCTTTCAGAGTTAGACCATTGAAGTTTGTAGAAGATTTTGCAACCAATTGGTCAGCCTCATAAAAGGTGTGAAGCTCTTCTCTGACAGATTCTCTGAATATGTCATAATGTCTGGTAACTTCTCCTTCTCCAACAAGGACATCAACATCTTCTATAAGACATCAACATCTTCTATAAGAACTGAAGAAGGCTCTACAGCTAGTCTAGGGAAATCAGCTTCAAATTCATTTACTCGTTCAAATTCTTCCAGATGAAGTTCAGACATTTCTGTTGCAAACATAAGCGGCTGAACTGCTCCTGATTCAAATAGCACAGTAGGTGGACGAGGTAGATCTGTAGTTCCAGATTCTTCAGAAAAATCAGAATCATTAGCATTAAATGCAAGACAATCAGCACCATTTGACTCCGATGCTTTCACCAACATGGAATCATCATTCACCACGGTAGTTTCCTGAAACTGTGAAAGCGCCTCTTGACTTCCGGAAGCATCGGTCACTTCCCTCATTTTCTCTGTTAAACCATTCTTTTCTTTTACAAAGGTCTCCCTTTGAAGATCCCCGATGACAATAATCTGACTGTCAGCAGTCGAGATCACCACATCTTTTCCTCCTAGTTGTTGAGGTAAACCTCGTGAGGAACCAGATACCTGAGCAGGGGCATCATATTAGAAAAGCTAGTCACTGCAGGAAACAAACTCAACTAAACCCAAAGGTAACCCAAATTTTAGAAATTGGTGAATCCTAATATAGAAAGCAAAATCATCATAACTACAATGAAAAAAACTGTGCTTTCAAGTTAGTTCTACAACAATTATAATATAAACATAACTGCATATAAATTTATGATCAAGAACTTGTTCTGATTCTTCTGAATGTTTAAAAATCCAAACCTTCTCAGCTTAGCTATGCATTCACAACTCAAAATTTCAGACTTCATCAGACAGTAATTTCCATAATTATAATAATTGATCCACCTCTTAATAGTTAATAAAGAGCAAGATAAAGGAAACCAACTAAGAAAACCCAATTTAGCAAAACATAATATAAACCAAAACAGAAACTTCCAATTCCAATCAGTTAACTCACTTTTCTCGAAGTCTCGCTCTTTCTAGAAAACTGATTGTAGCAAGCAAGAGATAAAGTAGATAATGAGGCGACGCCGATAACAACGAGAACAAAATTGGAGTCGATAGAAGCTCTGACGATAAAGTGAGGCGATCGGAGGCGTATATACCCCAAGTTTTTGTGTTTCTTTCTGAGAGAAGGCCTGAGAGTGTAGGTGAAACCAAGGAATTGTCGGCTGATTAGGTGGCCGCTAGCTGAAGAAAACAATGGAGAAGAAGGTTGGACGGTTGAGGTTCGGAATTTTGAAGAGAAGAAGATTGTGTTAGAATCCATTGAAAGGAGAAAGCAGAGGAGGAGGCTATGGAGTGACGAAAGGACCAATGTTCTGTTTCAGACCAGTAAAAACACCAACGGATATTGCTGCTGACATGGCAAATATTGCCTTTTTTATTAATTTTCGTAAAATTGGAAAATAAATCAATTCCCAACGCATTTTTTTTGTCGTTCGCCAAAAAAAAAAACTATATTTTTCTCGAGAAAATAAGACAAAAGAAAATTTGATCATAAAACAAGAACAAATAAAGCAAGACTTGACAAAAGGACGAATGAGAGACGAACCGTTATCAGAAAATCAAACCATAGCACATAGAAATTGTATATATTTATAAGTAATATATTGAAATTATTGCAACTGGAAAAGAAAATAGAAGAGAAACAGAAATACAAGATTAAATTACTGTAATCAAATGTTGAAGATTTCTTCAAGTTCCGGTGAATCGAACGGGAAAATTTTGAAAGGGATCGTAGAAAACTTTGCAGAGAAGCAACAAAAAACTGGGCTGAACTAATTTAGGAAGCGAAAGGCTTTGCCCCTAGGATGGCATCGAGTCGGGTTCGGGGCGGGTTTTGCTCGCCCCGAACCCAACCCGATTTTATGCTCTATTAAACCCAAATCCGACCCGAATTTTTTAATATCCGAATTCAACTCGATCCGATATTATGTAAATCACATCCGACTCGATCCGATTCGAAATTAATAAAATATTATTTTTTAAAATATAAAATATTTAAAAATATCATTATATAAATATATATAATTAATTAATTAAAAAAATAATTTTTTAATAATATCTAATTGGATAGGATCGGATTTTAGGTATATCCGAACTCGATTCGATCTGGATTGTTACTTAATTTTACTTGATCCGACTCGAAATCCGAAATTCAAAAAAAATCCGATATTATAAAATCGAGTCGGATCGAACCCGTCGAAAACGGACTTGATTGCAGTCCCTATTTGCCCCTACCTATTGCCTATTTCGCTTTTCAATTTCTATTGGATTGGGTCCTGCAATTTATAGAATTTTTTAATCCACATAGCTGACCCAAACCCTAACCTCTTGCCTATTTCGCTTTACAATTTCTATTGGATTGGGTCCATCAAGTTATAGAATTCTTTTGAACCGACATACCCAAACTCTAACTTGCGTCTTGATTTTAGTTTAGTTGGGCCTTGACTATAATGGTCCCAATAACACTTTAACGTCTAAAATGAGCTAACGGTGCTGCTTCAAGTTTTTCTGTTACCAATAAAAATATGAAAATACGAAAAAATGGTATTATATTATTAATTGAATTTAAATATTAATTTTAATAAAATTTATTTAGTATTATTTTTTTATTTTTTTCAAATATAATTATAATCATTTTTTTAATACAATTACAGTAAATTTAATTATTATTTTGAATTTTATTAAAATTAATCCTATCACGACACTAAGTAAGCAACTGGTATAAAAAAATAAAAAAATGGATTAAAATTTTCAAAAATATATATGGTTAACACTTTTCCAGTTTCTTCTAGTTTCTTCTAAAATCTCTGTGGAGCGGATGCGTCACATATGATATGAAATAATTGTGGTCCTCTATGGACTAATTTAGGATTAAAAAAAATAAGAACCAATGGGAGCTGGAAACGTCTCAAGAAAATAATATTGCTGAGGTTGCAGGTGATTGGATCCTACCCAAAATACAAGCAATTTAGGCACGAGATCAAAACTCGATAAAGACAATCATTAATAGTCGGGAAATTATGTGGTGCATACCTTTCTAGTGTGAATAAACTTGATGTTGATTTTACTTTTTTTTTTTTTTTTTAAAATAAAAAATTGAAATAAGAGACAAATAATAAAAAATAAAAAAAATCACTAGAACAAAGTCTAAATAAGAGAAAATATGATTGGATATTTCAATCCTTAATATTATATTTTTCCATCTCCACCACACATCAACGATTCATAGTTCACCGACGGTGACAAATGTGCAACAGCAAATATCAGACTCCGCATCCGTCACAGGTGATAAAATGTGATACATCTTCCATCAGATGGTCACCACCTGGCACAGATGGTGACAGAGTACGAACACAAATCACATGAGGGTCGAAAGTCTACGCGTCACCGGCTTAGTAGGAACGACAAAAGTAAAAAGGTAGGAATGGACTTTTTGCGTGGTGCATTCCGGTTATGTCTAATCTCTATTTTTGGAGGCTCCCTAACCGCCCCACGTGTCCCAGCCACAAATGGAGGAGTGGTCTCAATTCCATCTTCTTTTCTTAGGATCTGTTTGGTTTTTAATATATATAAATTTTTCCTCCTTACTCGTTAATAAATTTGATAACTCTAAATTCGTATAGTATAAAATATTAAAAATTTATATATTTATATTAAATTTTATATAAAAATTAAATATCATAATTTATTATATAAAATATAAAATATATTCTTTTAATTTTATTAAATTTACTTATAATTTTTATTAAAATTTTAAATAATATTATTATATTTTTTATTTATATTATTTTATCGTGATTGAAATTATCAAATTTACTTAAAAAAAAAGTAAGAATGTGAGTTTTGTCTTGATTATATATCATTTACGGATTATTGATTGATTTATTTTTAATATATTAAATTATAATTTTTATTAATAGATGTAATTTCATAGGAATGAACAAAAATATAATGATTTTGACATTGCATTTTTAAATCTAGATAATAACTATATTTAAAGAAATTAAAATCAAGTCACATTTATGTTCGGAGGAAATTATTACTACTATTTTTTGTTGATGTGCTTTGCCTTCCCTTTTTTTTTTTTTTTCATAATTACTAAAAGAAAGAAATCCAAAAAGCCGTTTTCATGAAAATGAAACCAAACATGTCTCAACTTTAGCTTAAAGAAGAAAAAGACGTTACGAAACATGACACAGAACAAACAGTCTCCTCAGTGCATTATCTCTGTCGTATAAAACAGCCTGAAGCCAAAGCTCCAAAAGAGAATAGAAGTCACCCACAGGCCAAAGCTAAACCTCTCATAACTTTAACTCGTTTTGGAGTCACGAAAAAAACACAGTGCTTATCACAGGACTCACAAGAAAACCAGTGGCTTTTGCAAGAAAGAAAGAAAAAAGAGAGAGGCAAAGAATTAATGGAGACAAGTACAGCAGCAACAGGAACGCCCCTAGAGAAGAAAAGTGAGCAGGTGCTAGACGGTTCGGATATAATGGAGTTGGTTGAGAACGAGGAGGTGTTTACTAGTTTCGTGGATCATAAGTTCAAGGAGCTTGATAAGGACAGCGATGGTCAGCTTTCTGTGCAGGAGTTACAACCTGTTGTTGCTGATATTGGTGCTGCTATTGGCTTGCCTGCTCAGGGTTTTTCTCCTGATTCTGACCATATTTACTCTGAGGTTTGTCCCCAAGTTTTCCCATTTTTTTCCTGGTATAGTATTTTTTTTTTTTGTCTCCTGGAAAATTCATGCATGTTAGCATTCTTTTCCTAGTAAATACCTGTAACAAGATCAGGAAACTATTAAGGAAAATAGGATGAAAATAATATGCCCAAGTCATTATGATTCATGAAATGAAATTTTGAGTGTAGAGGTAGAAACAGAAACTATTTCAAAGAGGAAAAAGCAGACTACCACTAGGCACTGATGTAATTAAGTTGCTGGAAATTTTCCTGATTGAAGAAGTTAACAGGTAAGGGGTTGCATATTTGATACTCACTCTTCAGTTGTCCGTTTCGTCTTAGAAGCTTTCTAATTCTACCATGCGATCATCACCTTCAACAGATTAGAGTCGGAATATTGTTTGCTTTCTAGTTTTTCAATTTGCAATAATCCTAATCTTTTGGTCATCACTTTGTCAGCGTTTTGCTAATGGTTGTCCATGTTTGAATAGAAAGTGATTGTAGTTTGACTAATTGCCTTCTTGGGGCTGTGCAAGAAACCACAAATTCTCAAAATTTCCATTTCTAGCTAGCTCGAGCACACTCGACCTATTGTTCAATTTGGTCGGTGTTATGGGCGACTTTCTGCTTTTCCCACTTGGACTTTTTTTTTGTTTTTCATGTTCCTTTTATCCTCATACAGGGTGGAATCTAATGACGAATATGGTGGAAAATAGGGCTATCTTTTTGGAACTTTATCGTGCATATAAGTCATGAATAATTAATGGGACAAAAGTCCGGTTGTCCTTTGTATTAACCATTTGCCGAAGTTTACCATCAAATACTATATAATTTGTTGATGAGATAAATTGATGTAATATACAATAAGCACAGAATTTAATTCTAGTTAACCCCTCCCCCTGTTAAGGGAATGATACAATTAGGGACAAGACAATGGAGCACTACTCCCATGCCTGAGAAAAGGAAAAGCAGGTAAGACTCTGGGCCATGTCCGAGGTCTGTGTAATTTCTCATTATTATTCTCTCCACTCCACTCTTAGGATGAAAAATAAGTGCATAAGCTGCTAGTTATATATGTGTTTTTAGGTTAGCAAAAAAGTCAATACTTTTTCTGATTTGAGATTGGAAATTAGGAATGGATTATTGTAGGATAGGTTCATCGTAGTGGTGATGGGATATAGAAGCTGACATTTAGACATGTTTTTCAGGTTTTGAATGAATTCAAACATGGAAAACAAGAAAAAGTGAGCAAGACTGAGTTTAAAGAGGTTCTTTCTGATATTCTACTAGGTATGGCCGCGGGTTTGAAGCGAGACCCTATTTTGATCCTCCGTATTGACGGAGAAGACCTCTTGGAGTTTATCAATGGTCCAAGTTATGAAGCAGAGATGGTGTCCATATTTTCACGGATAGGGTTAGATGATGCATCCCTGCATGACTGCATTATTAAGGCTTTGGAGAAACTTACAGTTGATCAAGGAATGCCCCCTTCGTCAGATTCTTGGGTAATTGACTTTCCACATCTATAGTTCAGTCAGTAATAGTAACAAAACATAGGGAAAACTTAAGCCTTTGTTTCCATCGTTCGTTGACCACTTCTTTCTGTCTTCTGTTGCTTGTGTAGGTTATGAGCAACATAGTGGAACCAGCTTTGCTATCATGGGATGGCAATGATCGAGTGAAACCTGTCTCTCAAGAAACATTCTTGGAAGAATTTAAGAAAGTAGCAGAGCTTGTGGCTCAACATCTCAAGGAGCAGCCTGTAATTGTTGCTCATAGTGTAAACACCTTTGATGGAAGTGGCATTAAAAGACTACTATCTAACAAGTTTGAACTAGACAAGGTATTGCCCTTGTTGTCTCACTCCAGTCTCTGTGTATGTTGGATTTAAGAAGGAATGCTTTTCTCTTGTACTACCCTTGATAATCAATTCTTTCACTTTGCAATGCAGTCACTGAATATAGCTTTAGAAAATGTGCCAAAAGATCAGAATGGGAAAATATCAAAGGAGTATTTACGTGTGGTGCTAGATGTAGTGGCTCCATCAGCTGGTTTACCTCCAGTCGGTGCAGTTGAGCAGGTACTGCAACGATACATCACACTTACTTCTTAAGTTGATCGATAGATATTAGACAAGCTTGCAAACTGCAATATCAGCATTATTTCCCAAGCGTTGCTGGGGACTCCTATGGTTATTTACAAAGAGCATTATCAGAATAGATCGCCTCACCTTAATTTCCTTTTTCTTTGTGGTCAATATAGAGAAGAATACCATATTTCATTCCACTTACTAAAGCTCTTGAAATTCTCCAGATCGATAAGGTTATCACTGATATTTTCAACATGATCAATGCGGATGACGGGAAGATGGTTAAAGAAGATGAGTTCAAGAAACTATTGACAGAGATTCTTGGGAGCACCATGCTGCAGTTAGAGGGCAATCCCATCTCAGTTTCTTCAAATTCTGTTGTTCATGAGCCCCTTGCATCATCCTCATCGCTTTTGCAGCCATCATCCTAGTTGCCTATTACAGTTACCTCATATATATCAGAGGGTAACAAAATAAAATGGGACAACACATTTTGTTTAATCAAGTAAATTATCACTAGAGTAAGTTGTTTGCTATGTGCAGTTCATTGGATTGTGCTAATGGAACATATTACTATAACTTATACATGCAAATACAGATAAATTAGATGGAAGTAAGACTTGTCATTGGCTTTTTAGTTTTTAGAGTAAACCAAAAGCTTCTGTTATCAGCTAAAAACTGCTCTTAGACAGAGATCTGCAGAGATTTTGGTTAGCCCTTGGTGAAACCGTAATAAATAATGCAAGAAAAACAAGGTCCAATCCAAACCACCCAGTGCCCATCCCATAACGAACCTCATAGCAGTAAGGCAAGGCCTAGGCACCTTGCAGGATTAAGCCCTACTCCTGCGTAGCCGGCTCGCGCGGTCACAATAATACACACAAACTGCCATTGTCACGACAATGTACAGGAGCCATGAATTGTTTCTGTTCATAGTCACATAAACGGCAAGAAAGCTGATTATGTAATGAAGCAAATAACTAATTATTTAATCAATAATAATTAAACCCATGGTTGCTCAAGTTGAAAAACACCCCATTTCATCCATCCTTGTCATCCTCGGTACAAAGCCCACTTTATCTCTTTCTCCATATTTACATGTATTTCTATGGAATTGTTTATTTGGGGGGCTGGTCGTACTTGTTATAGCTATGCAACATAAGCGTTGCCAGTGGTAAATAAGTTCCAGCCGACTAAGAACCCTCAGTCTTCGTGAGTTCCTTTTTTTCCGGCTTGTTATTTTTAGTGATTTTGGTTAAAGCCATTAAATCTGATATTAGGTTAATTTTTTAATCATCAATAATTCAGATTCAGCGGACAGGGTAGTTGCAGGATTTTTATGAACAAATTTATAATGGAACAGGGGATTAGGTTTAAGCTGGCAAGAGAGCTTCCTCAGACAATCGAAGATATTGTTTAAGGTTTCTGTGAAATTTTGTTGGGAACTGTTAATTGGCTGACAAGGACTATAACAAGATGTTTTGGGCAGTTCATCTTATTGGGCCTGAAATCTTGAGCCGATTAGAAAAACTACTAGATTTGTTTCCAGGGAAAATAAATGCCAGTAGAAGAGCTTTGATGGATTATGGAAATGCTAGCTGTAACACAATTTTGTATGTGCTGGAGTACATGATAGAATTGAGCTTGAAGATGATATTTTGAAAATGAAAAGTAGAAATTTTCTGCACTTCCAGACCATTCCAATGATTACTTCAATTCAAAAATTGTATGCCTATATAAGAGCCAAAGAACATCATAACATGAAGGAATAGTCTATAATAATTAACTTCATGCATGCAGCAGCAGATTAGCATTCGACATCAAAAATTAATCCATCTATGAAGTGCTTTCATTATAAATATCCACCCAAAGCTTCTGCTTCCCGAAATTTACAAACAATCCACTAATTTCCAGTCACAATATATGTGTCGAGAGCAAAAACCCGAACTTAAACAAGGATACCTAGTCACATTTTGTAACCAAGTAATAATTTTTTTTGGCAGCAAGCTCATCGACCACAGCGAAACAGTATCTTCACTTATACCACTCCAGACGGAAGTCGGAGAACAAGCTGCCCTCCAAAGACACTGTAAATCATAAATGATTATATAAGTAAACATAATTGAAGTTTAGCTGGACTAGAATGTTTAGTTATATAAAGGTTGTAACGAACCTCTTGATATAATAGTAACAGAAGTCTGCTAAAATGAAAGTTTGGACAATTTCTGATATAAGAACCATAGAAGGCCACAATCCGTAACCCAAGGCTACAAGCAAGTGTCCTCGACTGTCTAAAACCTGTTGAAAGCAGTAGAGAATGAATTAACATCTTAATGCAACCATGAAATGACCCTCATAATAATTCACAACAATGCTCAAACCATCATTATAAAAAGGTTTCCGCTCCACACAAAAATACTTATATTAACAAGAATGTGGCTAATTAAAATGACATCAATTGACATCTAGAAGCAACAACCAGACACATATTAGTCAATAGGCATTCAATTCAACCTTCAATACCAGTCATCATGCTGGCTCAAACTGTCTATTATTTCCAAAGTAGATAAATTTGCAATAAACAAACTAGTACCATTTAATGCTCATACTGGGTCTCAATTTCAAAATTGCTAACTAGTAATAAAAAAAATTAATCTAAACCAATCACATACAACTTCATGTCACGAGATCAAACCTGCAGAACCCAGTGAGCACAGCTGAGGAACCTTGCAACACCCAAAGCAAATACATAATGAGCTGTGAAAGGCTCAACAATCTGGAAGCACAAAAGGAAGATGAGTTACAGACAGAAATCTTATAAATCTTCAAAATGTATATCTACCATTTTAAGTAATTTGTACCTTCGTATTTTGCATCACTCGCAACTGAGGTAAAACTGAAACAGCTTCCAGATACACACAGAATGCCCAGAAAATCCGGTTCAATAGATTATGAGAAGTTGATGGGTGAATACACAGAGCTAATACTGCACAAGGGACAACCTGCATCCAAAGTCAAAAGCAAGGATATGACTTCTAGAAAGCATTCAAAAGAAGAATCCACTCGAGTAACAAAGAAGTTAATTGTGCAGTTAATATGAGTCCATGCATAAAAACACAAAAAAGTAACACCTTTAATTATTTTTGTTCAATTGGTTACATGATAGTATCTACCGAATCAAAACGAGGAAAAAGTCCAAGGTTACTTTCAGAGCGGTATTTGAAACAAACAGCATTAAGAACAACTGAGAACAAATGTCATAGGACAATTAGAAAACTAGCAATGATTCAAAGAGCAACACATGAAAAAAAGAAAGAGAACAAAAAATCTCAAAAAATAAGTGCAGTCTTATTTAAAGAAACAGATTGATAAGAAAGGAGATTTATATTTTCTAATTTGCGGATGCTGAAGCCCATATAAGAAATAATAATTTAACAAAGAACACCTGGAAAATACCATCATAAAATGGAGACACTAATTAACCATTTGCCACTGTAAACGTGGACATCTATTTCATGGTTACATAAACTGAAACCTCAGATGAAAGTGGGAATAAGCTTTACTACAAAACATGACCATCTCTTGACTTAGAAAACATAAAATCAAGGAGACAAAGCATGTAGGATTCACTTCTAAATCCAACAATATGTAGGACAGAGCTGCATATATATAATGAAAGAAAAAGTTAATATGACTGATGGAAACTCACAACATAATATATAGCAAAGTTGTCCTTGTCTTCCATGTAGCTGGACTTTAGTTTGAAACGGATCATATAAATAACCCACAAGGTTGTAGCCAATGTGGCTAAATCAAGTAGGGTGTGTATATCATATTCCATGACAAAGCTACAGTACAGCCTAACAGCTAAAAAAATAGCTGTTAGTTCTTGGGATTTGAGAGATAGTCCTGCAACCATTCAATAATATTTTCAAAACAAGTCAATCGAATAAGTAATACCAATATTTTTTACAAATAAAAACATCTAGACTTTAGTTAAAACATAAAAAACATACTTAACCAAGAATCACGGGTTAATTCATTAAATCATTTTATTTAGTGTAAACAAATGACAAAGATTAAAAGACAGACTGCTTTTTAACAGCAAAGAAGTATTAAGCATAGCAGGAAAATAACAAAAAATAGAGGACAAAACTCCTTTTGCTCCAAAAACAACCTTTATTTATCAATAAAAAATTCTTGTCATACATACAGTTAGGACAAAACTGTTAAAAATACAATAATTTACTCACGATAAAGAATTGGCGTAGTACAAACGGAGCAAATTCATAAAATTCATCAAACTGGTAAGACAAACAAAAAAGGGCTTATGCAAAAGAATTAGCATGGTATAAAAATAAAAACAGACCAAACTCATAAAATTCATAAAACTGGAGCGACAGACAAAAAAGAACTCCCCTTTGCATCAAGAAGAAACCATTCACTGTAAATTGATATGATACCGTAGTAAGATCATTAGTAACAATATATATATATATATATATGTATATGTATTCCAGGCATCAGAATTCAAAAACCCTCAATAAAATAAAATTCATACAACTTAACCCAAAACCTGCAACAAGGGTATAATGCCTAGTGAAATTTCAAGTTCGGCAATAGTATAACTCTTCCACTTCATGATAGGTGAGCAAAATTAGGACAAAGGAGTAAATTTTATACATCGGTAATTGAATTCAAATCACCAAACAAAGAAACAGATAGCTTAAATAGAAATAAAAGAAAAATCAAACCAGAAATTCAACCCAGAAACATCTAAAGAGCAAAATTCTACCACCGATGGGCACAAAATTGCCAACCCAAAACCTTTAAAATTATGCAACTTTTCCCTTGCCCTTCATGCGTTTTTAAATTACTAAATTAAAGCAAAAGCACCAATGTTAAGCAACAAATTAATCAAAAAATTGCAATAACAAAATCTACAATATCTTATCAATTGGGAAAAAATTAGAGCTTTATGCGAATTACCAGCACAAGTCTTCTCCTTTGTGAGCTTATAGATTAGGACAGAGATTCCGATGGAGTGGACAGCCTCGGCGGCGACGAAGAGATTGTCGTGGTCGTGTACGATGAATCGGAGAAGAACAAGTGCCGCCATCCCCGATACTACCGCCAAAAAAGCCTTCACCTTCGGTGGCTGTCGTCTCACCCACATCGACACCGCGTGGATCGGCCTCTTCGGTGGCCTCATGTCGGTTTTTTTTCTCCGAGTAACAGAGACTAAGTGAGGGAAAATTTTGGGATTTGGAGAAAGTGCAACTCTGGATTGTTAATGAAAGTCTTTCGGGATATGATTTTATATTTTTGCTCAATAGAAAATTTCTTTTATTTGTTTTTTTTTTTTTCTTTACTGATTTGATTGAGATCGGGAAAACGACAAGTGATTGGGGGCAAGATTTAGGTCGATGAAGTTTTTTTTATTAAAAATAATTAAAAGTTCAAACCATAAATAGAAACGAAAATTTTAATATATTTTTAAATAAATTTTTTATTAAAATTTCTGATAAAAATTTTATTATAAATAATATTTTAATGATTTTATATTATCAATCCTCTCAAACTTTATCAACTTATGAATTTAAATCTTAAAATTTAAAATTTATATTTTTAATAAAAAATTTCATAAATTTTAAAAACTTACTTAAATTTTATTTTTATTTAAAAGATTTTTAAAAAATCATAATTTCCAATTATTCAAACACATTTAAAATTATGTAAGAATTATTATTAATAAATGTAAATTACTTATAAAATTTTGATAAATTTCACATAAATTTAAATTATAATAAATTAATTATAACATTTTATTTTAAATTATTGAGCGAAAAATCAAAATCCCAATTAAATTATATCAGATGACCAATAATTAAACTAACTTCAAAACTTAACTACAAGTAAATTAGAGTTTTAGAAAACTTATAAGTAAACTAAATTCAGTGAGTAGATTTGTTTTGGTTAATATTAATATCAACATAATTAATACTAATAAATACCAAAAGCATGGTTTTTTTTATTGAATTAATTAGTGCAAAATTGACAATAATCAAGCAATGTTAAAGGAAACTGACTTCAGGGGGTGTTTTGGAAGAAACAGAAGTGAAATCTCCGTATATTTGAAGTTGGAGTTTTATATCAAAGAGTCAAGACAAGAGAAGTGGCTTACCATCCCAGTCGCTACCACGGCACGATTGCACGACCGTTCCTTTGTTTGTTTCTATGCTTAACCAAACAGTATGAAAAAATTAAAATCAATTTGAAATTATAATATTTAATTTAATTTAGACTTTTTTATTTGATTTAAATTAAATTTAAATATTAAATTTCAATTAAAAAAATAAAAAAAAAAATCAAATTTAATTAAATTATATATTATTGGCTTTTATATATTTTTTAAAATTTTATAAAATATATTAAAATTTAAATATATTAAAAATATATTAAATTTTTAAATATATTAAAATAATATATAAAAAATAAAATTTAAAGATAAACCAATAATATTTAATTCAGATAAGATGATATAAAAAATCAATTTAAATGCGAATTAAATTTTAAAATTTTATAGTATTATATATTATTAAAAGAAACTCGAATTGAAACGATATCACTTCTGATCTAACACAAAAAGATTCAACTTCCAC